TCCTCCTCTTCTTCTTTTTTTCTGTTTTAAGACAGGGTCTACAGAATCTCATTATGTAGATCGGACTCATAGAGATTCTCCTGTTTTCAGCCTCCCAAGAGCTGGGATTACAGGGGCAAGCCACCACACCCAGTCTCAATGCCCATTTTAGCACTCCCCGCAGGTGGGGGCTGGCACAGCATGCCAAGGATCAAACTCTGGCTGCTGCACTGTGCCTAACCGATGTTCTTCTTGGTATGCTTCAACAGGGCCAGGCCTGAGAATTTTAGGGAAAAAATAGATAATAGCTCTCCAACACCAAGATTGGATAAGATAACTTCCTTCTAACTCAGTCTCTTGTGTTAATCTGCCCCTGCATTGAAGAAAAATAAGAATATTTTTCAAATAACACAAAGTTGTATCATCTAAGAAAAACATGATACTGAATATAGCAAAGTACATTCTGACCAAGGTTTCAAGTTCAGACTCCTGAGACAAATCCTGAGTTAATGCATTTTGCAAATATCACCATACAAAATGAGAGTGTATGCTTACAACTCTGCCACAAAAATAAGCACAGTGTCAGCAATTAGTGGGAATTCAATAAATATCTATTAGTTGAAAAAGAAACCAAAGTGGACAAAACAGCTGAGAGAACAAGAGTAGGCCAAATAGCAAGCACTAAGTTTTCCCCCACAGAACAGAGTGACAGACAAGACAGTTGTTGGCCAAGGTCATAACAGAAGGGACTACATTTTGCTGAGTTATGTCCCTGCCCTAAATACTGGCTAGCATGCTGCAAGCATTGTGAAAGAATATGTTATGTGGACAAATCAAAGGCTAATGTAGCTCAAAAGCTGCCACTGGTCTGTGCTGCTTGTTCCTTGTCACTCCATTTCCCAACCACCACAGATCATAATGGAAGAAGAAATTGCCACTCTTGTCATTGACAATGGTTCTGGCATGTGTAAAGCTGGCTTTGCTGGTGATGTCGCTCCCCGGGCTGTGTTCCCCTCCATTGTCAGCCGCCCTTGACATCAGGGTGTGATGGTGGGCATGGGCCAGAAGGATTCCCATGTGGGCAGTGAGGCCCAGAGCAAGCATGGCATCCTGACCCTGAAGTATGGTAATGCTATCGAGCATGGTATTGTCACCACCTGGGGATGACATGGAGAAGATCTGGCATTACACCTTCTACAGCAAGCTTCATGTGGCCCCTGAGGAGCATCCAGTGCTGCTAACAGAGGTCCACTTGAACCTGAAGGCCGACAGAAAGAAGATGACTCAGATCATTTGTGAGACCTTCAACACCTGGACCATGTACATGGCTACCCAGACCGTGCTGTCCCTGTATGCTTCTGGTATTGTCATGGACTCTGGTCATGGGGTCACCTACACAGTGACTGTCTATGAGGGCTATGCCTCCCCCACACCATCCTGCATCTGGACCTGGCTGGCTGGGACCTGACAGACTACCTTATTTAGATCCTGACAGAGCATGGCTATAGCTTCACCACTACTGCTGAGAGGGAGATTGTTCATGACATTAAGGAGAAGCTGTGCTATGTCACCCTGGACTTTGAGCAGGAGGTGACCACAGCTGCTGCTGCTTCCTCTTTGGAAAAGATCTATGAGCTTCCTGATGGCCAAGTGATTACCACTGGCAACAAGTGCTTCCAGTGTCTAGAAGCACTTTTCCAGCCCTCTTTCTTTGATGTAGAATTCTGTGGCA